CTTTTTAGTAAGATATTTTTTGCCATAAAGTGTATGCACTCAGGAGAGAGAGGGAGAGAGAAATCACTGCCGCGATCCCTTCTCCTCCATTCTCTTCTTAGGATTTTTGGGCACGCATCTACATGCACCCCTCTGATTTTCAAGCCCCCAGGTCTGGAACTTGAACCATGGTCAGCCATGTAGGAATCCAGCACCTTAACCACCATGCCACTTGCTGGCCCCATAAATTTTTTATTCTCCTTATTGAAGCTTTCAGTTGTTTGTTGTTGTTTTTTTCATTTTATTTTATTCATGAATTCTTCAGCTCCAAGATTTCTGTTTGTTTGTTTTTTGTGATATCTATCTCTTTGTTGAATTTCTCATTCAGATCATGAATTATTCTTCTTCATTTCATTCAATTGTCTATCTGTATTCTCTTGTATCTCACTGAGCTACCTTAAGATAATTATTTCAGATTACCTTTCAGGTATCTTATAGATTTTCTTTGCTTTGGGATCTGTTACTGGAGAATAATTATGTTCTCTGAAGGTGTCATATTACCTTGCTTTTTCATGTTTCTTGTGATCCTATTTCTAAATTTGTGCATCTGGTAAAACAATTGCCACTGCTAATTTTATAATGTGGCTTTCATAATGAAAGACTCTTTCTTAGACATGGGTCTTAGGATGTCAGTTGGGTGGAGTGTGTTTACTTTGGTTCTGTGTGGATGTAGTAGTGTAATGTCGGTGCAGTTTCTTCAGCAGTAGTCACTGTCAGCAATGTCTATGAGTACCTGAGTGGTCTAGGCTACAGGAGTTTGTGGGACTGGTCTGCCAACTGGGACTTGGCTCTTTTAAAAGCAGGGCAAATTCACAGGTGGACAATGTCTCTCCAACTCAGGGCTAAGGGAGGGTTGCCAGACTGTTTCAGCATGCCACAGGTAGATAGGGCAACTCCTGGCACTGACACACAGTTGGCCATGAAGCAGCAGCCTGTTTTGGCAGGCTGCAGGTGAGCAGAGCCAGAAGATGGTGCTGCACAGCAGCAGTCCGGGTGGGGAAGGACAGAACATGGATTGCACTCTCTCTCTGTGGCAATGTGGTAATGTGGACTCCAGGGGCTCCCCAAATAGGACTCGGGCCTATGAGGACTTGAGGCATCCATGGCATCAATAGGAGATCTTGGGGACCTCCCACTCACCTTTTTCCTGGCACAAGAAATTCATTTTTTTCTAAGGTGTTCCCATTTGGGGCAGGGGGGCTGGTGTTTGTCCTTCTTTCTATGTCCATCCTGAGTCATGAGGCACCACAGCCTCTCTACCACAACCCTGCTATACACCAACATTTCCTCAAATACCCTGAGTGAATAGCACCTGTTTTTTTTTTTTTTTTTAAGGTGTTTGACATAGGGCACACGTGAACACTGGAGAAAGACAGAGAGAAAACAACAGGTCATCCCAGGGGGATGGCCATACCACAATCTCTTCTCTTCCATTCTCCTTGGGGATTTTGGACATGTACACACATATGCCTGGCTGAGTTTCAAGCTACCAGGTCTGTGATTTGAACCATAGTCCACCATGTGGGAGTGCAATGCCTTAACCTGCTGGTCCCCTACTTTTTTATAATTTAATTTTGGTTCTTTTTAGTGGGAAGAAAGTGGGCTCCTCTACACAGCCATCTTGCCAAAATTCTGATTAGGTTATATATTTTATTTTTAAAGAATTGTTTTATTTAACATTACTTATTTATTTATTTTAATTTGACCAGAGAGGGACAGAGAGAGAGTGAGCAAGGGAAAGTGAAAAAGCAAGCTGCCAGGTCCAGGACTTGAACCAGTTGGCCATGTGGGAGTCCAGTGCCCTTAACCACTACATCACCTGCTGGCCACTGATTTAAGTATTTTCAAGATCACATTGTATCCACTTTTTTAAAAAAAGTAATTATTTATTTAATTTTATTTCTTCATTCATTCATTCATTTTAATTTGACCAGAGAGAGATACAGAGAAAGAGAGAAAGTGAGAAAGCAAGCCACCAGGTCTGGGACTCAAACTGTGGTTGGCCATGTGGGAGTGTCCAGCATCTTATTTTTTTTTTTGTGGAGAGGTTTTCACTATAGGGCACGTGCGCTCGCCAGACAGACAGACAGAGACATAGAGACAGAAAGCGAGAAATCATTCCCCAGGGGTGATGGTCACACTACAATCTGGTCTCCTCCATTCTCCTCTCGGGATCTTGGGCACGTACGCACATGCGCCCGGCATGAGTTCTAAGCCACCGGGTCCGGGACACGAACCGCGGTCGACTACGTGGGAGTCCAGCGACGTAGCCATTACGCTAACTGCTGGTTCCTGGAGTGTCCAGCATCTTAACCACCACCTGCTGATCCCCCATTGTATCGACTCTTAACCTAGGATGTTGAAGTAATCTCTAGCCAAGGGCAATATAATGCTCATGTCAAAAAGTAAAAAAGATGACAGTTCCCTACATAAGATCATTTTAGTTAGTGATGCATAAAGGAATTGAATGAACAAAATTTAGCTTATACAGGACCAAAACACAAATACCAATTATGAATATACTGTACTGAAATTACGTTAAAGCGATTGTTACCTTAAAATTCCAAAAGTTGGGCACACCTAAGAAGTGCTATATAATATATGAATTATAAAAATGTATGTAATTAAGAAGAGTAGCTTGGGGCTGGCAGGTGCTGTGGTTAAAGGCACTGGATTCCTACATGGCTGACCACAGTTCAAGTCCTAGACCTGGTGGCTTTCTTTCTCCCTTTCCCTTTCTTTTTCTCTGTCTCACTCTGATCAAACAAAAAATAGTAACAAATGAAATTAAATAAATAAATATTTCTTTTAAAAATAGAAGGGGGGAACCAGCAGTTAGCATAATGGCTATGTCGCTGGACTCCCACGTAGTTGACCGCAGTTCAAGTCCCAGACCCGGTGGCTTAAGCTCATGCCGGGCGTATGTGCGTGTGTGCCCAAGATCCCAAGAGGATAATGGAGAAGGGATTGTTGTGTGGCCATCCCCCGCTGGGGGGTGATTTCTCACTTTTTGTCTCTCTGTCTCTCTGGCAAGCACATGCGCCCTATAGCAAAAACCTCTAAAAAAAAAAAATATATATATATATATATGTGTGTGTTTTCATTTTGTGTTTTTATTGTGGTAAAATACACTTAACAGAACTTTACCATTTTCAAGCCAGCCCATGGCACAATGGTTAAGGTTTAAGTGGTTAAACCCACATGACCATCTACACATTTTAAGTCTTAGACCTAGTGGCTTGAAAAGTATGCTGAACACACACACACACGCCCTCTGGCAAAAAAAAAAAAATTATATTTAAAATAAATTATGATGTTTAACATTATAATAAAACTTTTAGTTGTGATAAATATACATAAAACAAAATTTATTGATATCATCTTAACTATTTTTAAGTATGTACTTCAATAGTATTAAGTACATATATATTGTACAACAACCTTGAGGATATATGCGCATTTTATTAAAAAAAAAGTGTCTTTCACAATGTGATCTATTAATAAGTGAGTTTGGGAGATCAGCAGGTGGTGGGTGGTTAAGGTGCTAGACACTCTCACATAGCCAACTATGGTTTGAGTTCCGGACCTGGTCTTTCTCACTTTCTCTCTCTCTCTTTCTCTCTCTCTCTCTCTCTCTCTCTCTGTCTCTCTGGTCAAATTAAAATAAATGCATGACTAAATAAAATTAAATAATTCTTTAAAAAAATAAAAATGACCATCACCTCCAGTTGGAAGAGGAGAGGAGGTACCATGGCCCGGTCTTCCAAAGATATCAATTCCATTCTCCAACACCCACTACCGAATTCCCCAAGAATATGGGAATCTTCTCGAAGGGCTGGCTCACGAGATTCTGAGGGAGCAACCCAACAATATGCCAGCTTTTCCAGCAGCCTATTTAGAACCTTCTGGAGAAGAGAGAGAAAACCAGCTTTGATCCAGCAGAATGGGGGACAAAGATAGATGAAGATAGATGACCACTTCTATAACAACCATACATTCAAGGAGCAAGAACCACCTGAGAAATGTGAGTCTGAACAAGGAAAGTCTCTGACGTCTGTGTAAGAGGAAGAGATACAGTCACCATCTTAGAGTCTCCTGAGGAAGAGAAGGGGAAGGAGAATGTTGCTCTCAAAATCCAAGCAGCCTTCCGGGGACACTTGGCCAGAGAAGGGTGAAGAAGATGAAATCAGATCATCACCAGGATGAGGAAGACAAGTGATGACCCTGGCTTTGACCTCCAGAAAATGGAGGAAATCATCTAGACCCATCAACCTTGTTGTGATGTCCATTTTTTTTCTTGGTAAGGGAGATTTGATGTTGTAAAAATCATTCGTGAGCATCTGTTTAATAAACATGCCATTGAGACAGGCCAAAAAAGTAAATACATACGTAAATAATAAAAATAAAAACGTGTTTTATAAGTGAATTTGTGCCACTCACAGGGTCTCACTTCCAAGATGACGAAGTCAAGAAGGAACAACAGCCATGCCACGTGCAGCCTACTTGCTACACGAACTGTGCCCTATGTGTGCCCAAAGACAGGGCTGCTGAGTAAAGGCCCAAGCAAGTGCCTTCAATGCCTATGTGCTCCCCAAGCTGTGTGTGAACTGCATTACTGTGTGACTTGTGCCATTTGTAGCAAGGTAGGTAGGAACTGATCTCGTGAGGCTCAAAAGGACAGAATGCCTCCACCTCGATTGAGACCTGCAGGTGCTGCCCCTCACCCTCCACCAAAGGCCATGTAAGGAGCTGAGGCTTTAAGGACTGAAGAACTGTCCTTTTGGAAAAAATAAAATGCAAATTATTAAAATAAATAAAAACAAGCTTATTTTGTACATTGAGATATTTTTGTTCAAAACATGAGCATGTGGCTCACTAATAAATAATTCTCTTCTACATTTTAAACAATTATATTAATGGACTTTTTCTTTTTTTCCTTTTCTCTCTCACTTGATGAATAGGAGTGAGCTGAGTCGACAGAAACTTCATACCCAAGAGCTGCTTTCTCAGCTGGAAATGGCAAATGAAAAGGTAGTTGAGGTAAGATAACGACTCCCCTGGGAAGTCCTTTGTACTGCAGCTTGATACACATGTTAGAGAATTTTACCTGAGCCAAATCCAAATTAATTCTCTACTTGGAAATAACCATACAGAAATCATCCATAACCCTGAAAGTGCACACATAATACAATGTGAATAAAAGCTTTGAAAATCAGTGATTCATTATATGCAAATGATAAAAGGCAGAGGCCTTATTTCAGTTTTACCAGGGGGACTTGTACAACATCTCAGAGAATCTGCTAGGATCTTCTTTATTACTATTTATTTTTAATAAATTTCTATTAATATTTTTAGCTCATTCCTTTTGTTTTAATTCATCACAAAAGACACATAGAAAATGCTTAGTGGAATATCTGAAAATATTTTTAGATTAATGTCTCAGAAGTAAATTTAGCTAGAGTTCTTTATTTATTTATTTATTTGAGGTTTTACCAAAGTAAACAATTGGCTCAGCCACAGTGGCGCCCTCTGCTAAGATGCTGCTTCTTGGAGAGCCAGGTTCAGTTCATGGCCCAACATCAAACAGGCTGGATGCAGTAATATGTGCCTGTAATCCTGGCTGAGTGGAAGGCAGGGACAGGAGAACCACACCACGCGGAGACCTTGTCAGAATCAATCAGTCAATCGCTCTCTCTCTCTCTCTCTCTTTCTTTCTCTCATAAATAAGTAAATAAATAAACAACAAACTTTAGAAAAAATCAGGCCAGGCAACAAATATTCTGTTTTATTTTAAAAAGTAAACAATGTCTGGATTATGATTGGGGCTTTCTAGAATTCTAGTCCTTCATTTGACATTTTAACTTCAAATGCATTTGTTGGAATTCCATTAATAGGGCAGATAGTCCACTATCTCTCTGTGGTCTATTACAGAAGCCATAGTGAAATTATTAAATATCATGGAATTATAAATGGATATTAGCCATTTAGAAAACAATTTTAAAATAGCCATTAAAATACTCTTGTATTGGGACCAGCAGTTAGTGTAATGGCTATGTCACTGTACTCCCATGTAGTCGGCCACGGTTTGAGTCCCAGATCTGATGGCTTAAACTCACGTCAGGCGCGTGTGTGTGCGTGCCCAAGATCCCAAGAGGAGAATGGAGGACAAGGGATTGCGGCGTGGCCATCCCCCTAGGGGGTGATTTCTCGCTTTCTGTCTCTCTGTCTCTCTCTGTCTGGCAAACGCACACGCCTTATAGCAAAAACCTCTCCAAAAAAAGAAGGAAAAAAAAAAGCGGGCAGGTGTCATGATGGTTAAGGCCCGGGACTCTCACAAGGCCGACTGTGGTTTGAGTCCCAGACCTGTAGGCTTGCTTTCTCACTTTGCCTTTCTCTCTCTGGCCGAATTAAAAAATAATAATAATAAATAAAGAGACCACAGTTAAAGTTCCAGACCTGACAGGTTGCTTTCTCACTTTCTTTCTGTCTCTCTCTGGTCAAATTTTTTAAATGATAATAATAAATAATATTAAATAAGTAATTCTTTAAAAGATAATACTAATAGGACCAGCAGATGGCATGGTGGTTGAGGTGCTGGACTCCCACATGACTGACCATGGTTCAAGTCCTGGACCTGGTGGCTTGCTTTCTTACTTCCCCCCACCTCTATGTATATCTTTCTCTAGCCAAATTAAAATAAATGAATAAATAAATTAAATAAATAATTCCTTTTAGAAAAAATAATAAATTCAATTAAATTAATAAATCTTTTTTAAATTGTGAAAAAAAAAATTAAAGAATTATTTTATTTAACTTTATTTATTTTTAATTTGACCAGAGAGGGACAGAGAGAGAGAGAGAGAGAGAGAAAGTGACAAAGCAAGCTGCCAGGTCCAGGACTTGAACCACAGTCAGCGATGTGGGAGTCAAGCACCCTTAACCACCACACCACCTGCCGGCCCCTAAAATTGTGAAAAATTTAAAGGAAGGTAGTCAACACAGTAATGTTAATATTATTGGAAGATCAAAAGCAACAAAATGATCTCTTGAAAAGGACTGTTTTCATATATTATGATATACCCAATCTGAACTGTTCCTTAATCACAGTAGCAGCATAGAAAAATGTACATTCTACATAGTCTGAGTATGGATGTGAAAACAATTGTTACAAATGATAGGATTCCCCCCCAATATATGACGTGCCTCTTAAATTCTAAGATGACATATTTAAACATCATAAATTGGAACAACCAATATGGTTCTCTTCATAAAATTTAATTTTGCTTTTGTGCATAATAACAAACATAATATAATTTTAACAGGATACTGTTATTTCAGTATTTATATTATAAGACATGACATTCACTCTTATCACTTATATGTTAGGACATAGGAACTACCTATAATAGTTCCTCATAAAAAGGGCTTTTTCTAGCTATTCCTTACTGTGTTTATGTTAATTATTTCTATTTCAGACAAGTAACATTAAAAGCTACATAACAATTTCAGCTGTACAAAAATACTTTTCCTCAGGAGCATGTTATAACCAAGTAAATGTAGAAAGAATTAACACTTTTCTTCATTCATAGAGTATTTGAATTCTTCTGCACTACAGGATGCTGTGACATGTTCGTATTCGTGATGTCCGTGTAGTCCCTGCTGTGATACAGCATTCCAAACTAGGTGACTTAGACAACTGAAAAACCATTGTCTCACGGTTCTGGGGGCTAGAGTACAAAACTGAGAGGTAGCAGTGTGCGTTCTGGGTGGCGAGGGCGAATCTGTTCCATGCTGTCTCAAAGTTTCTGGTAACTTCAGGTGTTCCTTAACTTGTGGATTGTGTTCTCTGTTTCTGAATATCGTCTCTCCCCCTTTTTTTAAGGAAAAAGAAAGAAAGAAAGAAAGAAAGGAAGGAAGGAAGGAAGGAAGGAAGGAAGGAAGGAAGGAAAAGAAAAGAAAAGAAAAGCTTGAATATTGTTCCTAAATTGTCCATTTAGATATCCTCTTACAAATTGGCCCTTTAAGCCTCTTGCTCATTTATTTTAAGGTTTTTGCCATAGGAGTGCATGCACTTGCTGGAGAGGAGAGAGCTAGAGAGAAACAGAGGAAAATGAGAACTCACCCTCCCTCCCAGGGGGATTGACACACCACAGTCTCTTCTCTTCCATTCTCCTCCTGGGATTTTGGGCATGCACTCACATTCACCTGGCATGATTTTCAAGTCACCAGGTCCAGGATTTGAACCACAGTTAGCCATGGGAGTCCAGTGCCTTGATCACCATCTCATCTGCTGGCCTCTCTTGTTCGTTTTTAATTTTAAATTTTTGTCAATTTTTTTTTAATTCATGGAGAGTGTGTGTAGGCCCCTCCACAGGGCCTCATCGCACTGTGTTCCCTTTCCTCCAGTACTCCAGCCTGTGGGATCCTGGGCACTTGTATGCATGCCTGGTGTGTTTTGGGCTGATCAGGCCAGGGATTCAGATTGCCACGTGAGATCTGGCATTTCTTGAGCAGTATATTACTGCTGAGCTGGAACTGGTCCCCCACTGTCTTCCCTCTGTACACTTTTGTCTCTGTGTCTAAATTTACCTTCTTTCTGAAGATGTTAGTCATAAGGATTATGGCCCATCTTGATGACCTCATATTGACCTGATCTTGCAAAGACTATTTCCAAATAAGGTCATATTCACAGGCTTTAGGGGTTGGGAATTCAGTGACTTCTAGGAGGCACAATTCAACCCATGACAATGCCAATAACTCTCTTGACCCTCTTAGCCTCTCAAGTATGCAGATATCTTGAGGAACATTGGGAAACAGAATGCAAGGCTGCAGGTGGTATGGAATTGGATTCCAATTGGCCGACTGCAGTTCGAGTCTCAGACCTGGCAGCTTGCTTTCTCACTTTCCCTCTCTCTCTCTGTAGTCAAATTTAAAAATAATAGTAATAATGATAAATAAATAAATTTTTTAAATATATTTATTTTTATAGAATTATTTTAATTTTATTTATTACTCTTTTTTAAATTTGCCATAGGGCACATGCACTCACTAGAGAGAGGCAGAGAGGGAGAGAGAGGAAAGTGAGAAAGCAAGTCATCAGGTCCAGGACTTGAACCATGGTTGACCATGTGGGAGTTCATGTCTTTAACCACCATGCCACCTGCTGGCCCCAAATAAAATAAATAATTTTTTTTAAAGGAACAGAATTTGGGACCAGCAGTTGGCATAATGGTTATGTTGCTGGACTCCCATGTAGTTGACCACAGTTCAAGTCCTGGACTCAGTGGCTTAAACTCATAGCAGGCGCATGTGCCTGCATGCCCAAGATCCGGAGAGGAGAATAGAAGAGAAGGGGTTGCAGCTTGGCCATCCCCCCCAGGGGGGTGATTTTTCGCTTTCTGTCTGTCTCTCTGTCTTTCTGGTGAGTGCATGCACCCTATAGCAAAAACCTCTCCAAAAAAAAGGAACAGAATTTATCTGAACCCTACTAAAGCTCAGGTTGTAAGGTCTAGCAGTCCATGTTTTTACAAACTTTCCAGGTGGTTCTGAAGTAGTGACCTAGCATCTCAAAGTTAAGAGATCAGAAATTGAGCCTATTCTTCTGACTCTTTGCTTTGGATTTTTAAATTCACTTTCTTTGCTGGCATGCAGGGAAAAAAAGAGAATTTACTAAGAATGTAAAACGAACTTTGTACCTTGAAGCTCACAACTGGAAAAATGTAAACTTGAAGATATTTTCTTTGTGGTCTGTAAGTGGTAATTGTGTCCAGATTCACCATTGATAATTCCAAAAACATCTCCATGTCACATACAGATTTCTAACTTGTTTGTTTTCTATTTCCTTTCCATAGAATGAAAAATTAATTCTAGAGCATCAAGAAAAAGCCAACAGACTTCAAAGACGACTAAGTCAGGCAGAAGAGAGAGCTGCATCGGCTTCCCAGCAGGTAGGGAGCATCCTCATTATCCCGAGATAATGCAGTCTGAACAGATCAAAGACACAATAGGTTCCTCAGAAGTTCTCAGAGGACTAGTTATTTTACTTTCACTTGATTAACCTATTTAAAATTACTCCCTTCAATATCTGAGGTTGGAAAAGTAAACTTGAAAAACAAAATAAACATCAGTATCCCCCACTTGACCGCTACATCTAGGACTGTCCAGTATGCTAGCCACTGGCAGAGCCAGCTGTTTACATTTAAATTCATTAAAATGACATAAAACTAAAAATTGACACAATCAGTCCCAGTAGCCAGATTTCAAGTGTTCAGCTGCCATGTGTAGCTATGGCTAGCATATCGGACAGTGTGCATTCAGAACATTCCTGTCGTCACAGGAAGTTTTATTAGACAACACTGGTCTAGAATTATGTCCTGCCTAAAAATAGGCTGATTTTCACTGATAGAGTCAAAAATAGATAACATTGCTTTGAATGTAATATTTCAAATTGCACTGCTTTTTTTTTTTTATTTTAGTTTGAAAGTGGAAAGAAATTGCTTAGTTTGCAGGTTAATTTCATTAGATGCAAATTTGTATATGACCAAATGAATATAAAATGCAATATAAAAGTTGTCCAACGCAAAATAGAGTAGAAAAGGTAGAGACATCACTTAAATACGAAGGGGTAATTTCTCATAGTACCTATATATCATATAAATAAAATAAACCATTTGTTCTTTTTTTTTTTTCCCCAGAGAGATTTTTGCTATAGGGCACATGTGCTCACAGGAGACAGAGGCAGAAAGTGAGAATTCACCCTTGGGGGGGATGGCCATACCACAATCCCTTCTCCTCCATTCTTTTCTCAGGATCTTGAGTGTGCATGCATGCACACATGCCCAGCATGAATTTCAAGCTGCCGGGTCCGTGACTCATACCGCAGTCGACTAGTTTGGAGTCCAGCAATGTAACCATTATGTCATCTGCGGGTCCCAAACCAGTTGTTCTAAAGTAAGAGCAATAGTCCCTCTTGTAAGGAACAAAGAGAGACCAGTTCAGTGATTATAAAATTAGGCTAGAAACAGACAGTTAAAATGGATAGATAGGGACCAGCAAATGGTGTAATTGTTATATCACTGGACTCCCACATAATCGACCATAGTTCAAATCCCAGACCTGATGACTTAAAACTCACACTGGCATGTATGCATGTGTGCCCAAACTCCCAAGAGGAGAATGGAGGAGAAGGGATTGCAGCACGACCGAGGGGTGAATTCCTCTTTTTCGGCCTGTCTCTCTGTCTCTCTGGTGAGTGCACATGCCCTATAGCAAAAATCGCCCAAAAAAAAAAAAATAAAATAAATAGTACAGGCAGACAGCAAAAACAAATCAAGTTACTCTATTGTTAATTATATTTGGTTATAAATGTACTATAGTAATATTCTTAGCTACTACAGCATCTTGTACATAGTAAAGCAGCTCTAGTTACCAAATTCCATTTATGTTCATGATTTTCATAGATTTTATTTATTTCTACTTATTTTGTTTTTCTAGTGATTTTTGAATTAGGGTGCATGTACTTGCCAGAGAGACAGAAAGCGAGGAATCACCCCACAAGGGGCAATGGTCATGCCACAATCCCTTCTCCTCCATTCTCCTCTTGGGATTTTGGGCACACATGCACACACACCCAGCATGAGTTTTAAGCTACCTCACCCAGGATTTGAACCACAGTCAACTGTGTTGAAGTCTAGCAACGTAACCATTTGCTGATTCCGATTTTATTTCTTAAATAATTATTTAATTTTATTCATTATTATTATTAATAATATGCTATAAAGCA